GGACCTGTGGATGTCAGCAGCTCAGCTCCAGGTTGGCTGGCACCTGGAGCCCAGCATGAACATCTCTGCCAACAACATCTTTGTTGTTGTTGTTTTTAAAGATTTATTTATTTATGCATACAACAGCTGGGGTACAGGCCAGGGGTGCGGGGTGTGTGTGTGTGTGTGTGTGTGAGAGGATCCATCAGAGACAGAGTGGGGAACAGAACAGGCAGATTGACAGAAGTACACTGCTGAGGGGAGCAGCAGGTGAGTCAGAAGAGGTCTGCTGTGTCATGTGGGTAGCTCTCTGGCTGGCTGGGGATGAAACTCGTGCTGCAGAGGCTCCGGATTGCTTCATAGTGCGGTGCTTAACCCCTTCCTCCACCAGGGAGGCCCCACAGGGCCACTCCGGAGGTCTGATCCTCACCACTGAGGGAGTATTTACTCCTTCTCAGCATGGAAAGCAGTTTCTTTTTTTCTGGGAGCACACCACTCCATACAGTAATGGACACTAAAAATTAGAGAGAAATTTGTTAGGTGTTTTTTTACTATCAAAAATAAGTGTCAAAGACCTATGGTAATGTAGTGAAATATAGTGATAATAATGTAATATAGTGAAATATAGTGATAACGTAAAACTACAATAAAAACATCTCACAAATATTTAGGAGTCAAGACGGTCTCCCCTCCTCCCCCCCATCCCTGGCTTTATTTTGCTTTTACATTGAATTATAATGATAGACTGATAAGTGTTCAATGAATTTCTTTAATATGGCAAATCTGATTTTTCAGTTTTTAGATCAGGTTTTAACCTTATTTGTTTGGCTTATGCTTTGATTATTTGAAGGAAGAAATTGCAATTAAATTTTTCCTTTGCTCTTAATCCATTTATCTCACATAGTAAGACATTTTAGAAAATTAGTGAAAAATTGTGCTTTTACTTTTATCTTTTCTGTGCTTGGAACTTATTAATGAAATTATGTGCAGTAAGGAATAGACTGCTGTATTATACTGTGCAATTGAACAATTTAAATAAAGCTTAAAACTTTTTTTTTTCCAATTAAGTGACACATAAGCATTTCTACTATTAAAAAAGATATTCTTTTAAGAGAACAGTCATTTTTATTCTATTCCATTCCACCACATTCTGTTTTGGACAACACATTAGATTCTAAACTACTTGTTAATACAATTTAAAGCATTGTTTGCTAGTCAAAGAATGAAATGTATGAGGTTGTGTGTTTTTCAACCACATTGAATATAAAGGAAGTACAAGAACTAATATATTACTAGTACAAGAACTAAAAGTATTGGCCAGATCTAGGTTACCTTTGGAATCTATAGATCAGGGGTAATAAAGTATATATTTTTATCCATCTATTTGGAAGCTTTTTTTTTTTAAGTTTTGTTGATCTTTTAAGTTAATTTTGAACTAGTCTGTGAAGGCAGCAAGTGAAATATGTTCCTGCAACTATACAATTTTTAGAATTATGATCAATATAGTAAATAATTTAAAAATTTACCAATGTTCAATTTTATGATCACTATCACCATGGTTGAATTAAATGAAAATAAAACTCTTCTCTGCTTGACATGGAAACATATTTTACACAGGTTTAATAAAAACTGAGGCTCTGGTTTTATCTACCTGGTCACTTAAGAATTTTCAATTGAACTTATTGAAATGTAATATACTGTGCTCTTAGCTTATATCTCAATTGCATTTTGTTGTTTTCCAAATCCATGGCATATAAATTCCTTTTATAAAATGTAGATTAAATCCTAAATAAAAAACTGCAGTGTAGAAAAAAAGAAAAAAGATGATTATTCACTGTGGTGTGTTTTGGAGGCATCAGTAAATTAAGGAAGGGTAGTTAGGAGACTATTCAGGTAACTAGGAAGAATTCCAGGGGTCTGGAACTGAGATAGGGATAGAAATTTACTTGGAGAAAGTGAAATACAAAGTAGAAAATCAAAGAAGTTGAAATTTGTAAAAATCTTAAGTTAGAGTTCGCTATATTAGCAGGAATTCATGATTTTCCCACACTTCTAGAAACATTTATTTCATAACTCTGCTGAAAAAGCCCAGGAATAAGGAAGGCCTAGAAACAATGAACATTCCCCATGCTCATTATATGATATAATGAACATTCCATTGCCCAGAATGTTCAAGTGATTCCTTCTTCCTGTTGTCATTCTGCTTGCTCTATTGCTTGTAGACTAGAAATTAGATCTGAAGACTTGATTTGACTCAGGTTAATTTTTCTCTTGACAAGGGTACTGCATAGGTGTTTTATATTTCATACTACATCACATCAAGAGTCACATAATTTCTGGTTATCCTACTTTTAGTGATGTGAAGGGCTGATAGCAAGTTCCCAATTATCCTCACATATAATTGCTTTAGTATTCATTAATAATTGATGCTTGAATAATTTCTTTTTTAAAAAAGATTTATTTATTTATGCATACAAGAACTGGGGTACAGGCCAGAGGTGTGTGGGGTGAGAAGATTCACCAGAAACAGAGTGGGGAACAGAACAGGTGGATTAACGGAAATAACACTGTTGAAGGGAGCAGCAGGCGAGTGAGGAGAGGTCTGCTGTGCCATGTGGGTAGCTCCCTGCCCGGGGATTGAACTCATGCTGTGGTGGCTGTGGATAGCTTCATAGGTTGCGTCTTAACCCCTTGCGCCACCAGGGAGGCCCTTGAATAATTTATTTCATCAGAGGTTTCTAAATGGCGATTTCCTCTTTTTGTTTCTTCTTTTTAAACATTTTAATGGGGTACAATTGACATATAATAAACCGGACATTTTAAAAAATACACACAATTTCCTAAACATTGACATATATATGTATCCATAAAACCTTTACATTCATAGTAAATATATTTTAAGATATATATTCTCCTCCTTTGTATACTAGAAAATCTTCTGAATCAAAAGTTTTTTAAAATGGGAAATATTTATGAGGCAGATCAACTGGATTTGGTGATTGAATGCTTGGGGGTTAACCTAACAGATCTGGAGTAACTCCTACTCAGTACATAGTGGTACAATTTATTGAAATAGGTAACAGGAGAAGTTGAATTTGAGATTTGTATACATTAAGTTCAAGGCCATAGGGGATATCAAAGTAGAAATGTGAAGTAGGCAAGTGTTAAAAGGAACAGTTTGGGCTAAAAATGTAAACTTAGAAATACTGGCATATAAAAACTCATGGCTGGGAGTAGAAATAATTGAGAGAATAAAAAGAACAGGAAAAAGGGATGAAGAAGAGGGAAAAATCCATAAAATATGCTTTATGATTAGCTAGAAGAGAAAGGAGGTAGTGCATCAAGGGAAAATAGAATGATCTGTTTGTGCTAATCCCATTAAATCATATTTTGTATGTTTTACTTTTCCAAATTAATACACTATGGGGCCTCCCTGGTGGCACAAGGGGTTAAATCTCAGCACTACGAAGCTATCCACAGACACTGCAGCACAAGTTCGATCCCTGGCCAGGGAGCTGACCTACATGGAATAACAGACCTCTCCTGTCTCGCCCGCTGCTCCCCACAGCAGTGTATTTCAGTCAATTCACCTGTTAGGCTCCCCACTCTGTCTCTGGTGAATCCTCTCACGCCCCCACCCCCACACCTCTGGCCTACACCCCAGCTCACATAAGTAAAATAAATCTTTAAAAAAATTTATACATTATGATTTATAGCACAGTAAGTATGGGCATAGTCCTGAAAGATGCCACCTTTAATACATTAATAAAATTAATTTTCTGAGCCTGTAAAGCTGAGGACTGGACTATGAACCTTGTAAATCAACCAAAGTAAATGATACCTCCTAAGCACTCTTGCTAGCAAGCTGAGTAGCTTTGTCTGGTAAACTCTAAGTCTCAGGAAGTCTTTCTTTGCAGCATTTACTCTACTTGTTTCATTTAAAAATGACTAACAGTAAACTACTTTCTTTTTTGCACATCATTACCTTTTCAGGATCTCAGAATGAAAGGGAATCTGGCTCATTAACAACTTCACCCCAAAATGTGGGAATTCTTCTTTAAATGTCCTGATTATCCAACCACAGCCTATATGATATAGTGAGCTTACAGTATTTTGGGTCATTATGGATAAGCACTTTAAGAAATTCCTGTTTAAGGACAATAATAAAATCTTACCTCTGGTGTTTGCAATCACATAGTTATTTTTTCAGGGCTCTTTGAGAAAAGGATGAAGACAATTCATAATCTGAATGTTGTTGAATGAAAGTATGTATGAATCAATAAAACACATAGATACCATTTCCTTGTTTTTAAAAAAGTTGGCTATATCCTATTAATTTAGTAAGAACTGTTAGGAGAATCATAAAATTCTTTAAGCATTAGAGTCCTTTATCACTGTACATTAAAATCTTTAGAATAAATTTGCTATCCATGAACTTGTCTTGAACAACAATGCAAAAATTATGCTAAATTCTCTCTTTTTTTTTTCTTAAAGAAAAGCTGATAGATCAAGACTCCCTCAAGCCCCCTACTAGAGTGGGAAGTCAAATGATAAATACCATTATCATTTGAAGTGCTTTCTAGTAGACTCCCCCAAATAGTTCTGTATTAGGAAAAAAAAGTAAGATGTCTTGGTATTTATGTTATGGCATTTAAACTAGGAATTTATATAGCTAAAAAACATACGCATTAATATAACAACCAAAAATATTTATAAACCATACACTTTAAAATGCATGGAAGAACTGTGAAGGTTCCAAAATTTAAATCAGAGTACACAATATTTATTTCATAATAAAAAAGATAAAACCAAATATAAAGTATACAATTGTTTGCACTTTATACATTTTGATTATTATGCTGAAATCTGTTGATTTAACAGTTAAAATAAACTTCAGTTATTTAAAAATTGCCAAGTACATGATTAAGTTGAAATTTTCTTCATTCATCAAAAAAAGATTTTCAGGAGTAAATAATGACATGGCAAATGTATCCAAAACACTAGGTCTTCATCTTTTGTTTCTTAGACCATTCAGGTGCTTCCTTTTTGGTCTGTAAAAAAAGAGAGAGAGAGAGAAAGAAAGGGGAAAAAAAGTCAAGTAAAATGCTTAGACAGATAATTCAGAGGACTCAGTACTTACATATGCTGGGGCTTTTTATATAAAATTACAATAAGTAATAGCTTTTAATGCAAAAGAACCCTCAGGGCAAAGATTTTGTCTTTTGTCAGAAATACTCTCCCACCTGTAGAAAACATCTGTGTTTTCTGACTCAGTTTGTATTCAACGTATTTTACAGAGGTGTTTTATGAATTGATTCTGTTTTCAAAGGAATTATAAAAAAATCAAGGACAAGCCTCTTTTTAGTTGTCTCATTTATCTATGTATGGATAGCCATTAATTGAAGGATACTAGATCCAAATCATTGAGCTTTGGATCTCCTGAACTGCTAAGTATTTATCAGAGTGCTCCATGGTTTCACTGCTCCATTGTTTCAATCTAAAAAGAACCATGCTGTACAGAGTAGTTACAAAAAGCCTGGGGAAGCCCTCCCTGGTGGTGCAAGGGGTTACCTCTCAGCACTATGAGGCTATCCGCAGCTCCGAGTTCGATCCCAGCCAGGGAGCTACCCACATGGCGCAGCAGACCTCTCCTGTCTCATCCGCTGCTCCTTCAGCAGTGCATTTCAGTCAATCCGCCTGTTCTGCTCACCACTCTGTCTCTGGTGAATCCTTCCACACACACCCTTCCCCCCCTTACCTCTGGCTTATACCCCAGCTCTTGTATGCATAAATAAATAAATCTTAAAAAAAAAAAAAAGCCTGGGGAAGTAGACTGTTACAGAATAAAGCACACAAAATCTTTTATAAAAGGTGCTGATTGCAATCAAAACATTCTATTTTATTCAATAAATTAAATATGCAGTTGACTGTTTTCCCACTTATATATGCATAAAACTATGAAAAAACATTCCTAAATTTACACACACATATAAGTATAGGCATGTAGAGAAATCTGATAGATCATTTCATCTTTTTTTATATTGTTTTATATGTTATAGCTGATCACAAAATGTTGGCAGGACACCATCAATGAGTTTCTCTTGACTCCATGCTCTGGTCAGTTTTAGCTACCACCCAGAGAGCACTCTTACTCCTTTAACACCCATTTTCACACAACTGCTAATTTGAGCTATAAATACTTCACACAATGGGCCCAACAGGCAACTAAAAGTCTGTCTGTCAAAATGAACTCCCTCAATCCTTTATGTTCTATGTCTCGGTCTGCTCGGTCGTCTAAACTAGTAATGTTTAATACCTCTTCATCTTACCTCTTTTCACTTACTACATTCATTCTAAACTAAGTCCTTAATTTTTATCAAAATCTTTGAAACTCCTCATTCTGTTCCCATCTTCACTTTGTTGGCTTACCTTGAACCTTCATCCCTTCTGGCTGTATTCCTAAAAGTTTCCTAGCTCTGATTTGACTTCCTCTTCAATACAGTTGTAGTCATCATCCCCAATCCTTTCAAGCTTATCTTTCTAAAATGCAAAGTACTTGCGTCAAAGTACTTCAGTAGATCATTCTTTTAAAAGAAAGTCCAAAGTCCTTAGCATTTTAAAGGTGAAAGAAACCTCCAAGGCAAAGTAAGGAAATTACAGGAAAAGGACAGGATTTATCTACCAGGGAATTCAAAGGTGTCTGAGTTTAACCAAATTCAAAAGAAACCAAAGTAGGGCCTCCCTGGTGGCGCACGGCGTTAAGACGGCAACCTATGAAGCTATCCGCAGCCTCTGCAGCATGAGTTTGATCCCCAGACAGGGAGCAAACCACATGGCGCAGCTGTTCCCCTCAGCAGTGTATTTCATCAGTCTGCCTGTTCTGTTTCCCACTCTGTTTCTGGTGAATCCTCTCACTCCCCATGCCTCTGGCCTGTACCCTAGTTCTTGTATGCATAAATAAATCCTCAAAAAAAAAAAAAAAAAACCCAAAGTATAAGCCAAACGGCTGGTTTATTAATTGGTAATGACAATGTATTTTTTTTTTTTTTGGCAGAGAAGTGGGGTGCAGGCCAGAGGTGAGAAGATCCACCAGAGGCACTGGGCAGCAGAACAGGCAAATTTACTGAAACACTCTGCTAAGGGGAGCAGCAGGTGAGACAGGAGAGGGCTGTGCATCATTGGTGGGTTAGCTCCCCGGCTCGGGATCAAATTCAGGGGGCAGCAGTGATAGCACTCCATATGGTGTATAGTTTTTATGTATATTATAGAGTTATACATATTTAACATTATATTAGGCATATGTTAAAGGATGTGCATTATCTTTTATACTGGGAACATTGCTTTGATTTTTATGTATGATTTAGGAAAGAGCTCAGAAAGCTTCAGTAGAAACAAATTACAGAATTAACTGGAAACTACCAGAAGTAATCTACTGTTACAATGTGATTTTGGAGATAAATAACTGATAAGTTATGTACCTTTGTTTCATCTAGAAGCAGTGAACTAAAACATTAATATATAACTTGGGGATTATAACATACTGAGAAAGTATGTTAAAAGTGAGTAAGAAAGAGGACTGGTGAGTGCAGACACAATAAACTTAGTGGATTATTCCTGATACCTTGAAAAAGTCATGGAGATTAAAGAATCTATGAATGATTAGTCACTGCCACTTTTCTAAAAAAGAAAAAAAAAAGACTATATACAGAAGATGTAATTACTATGCTTTCTAAAAAAGATATAGGCTGATGGGCCTCCCCTGGTGGTGCAGCAGTTGAGCGCTGGGCTGCAAAGCTGTCCGCAGCCTCTGCAGCGCCGGTTCGATCCCTGGCTGCCGGCGAGGGTCCCACGTGGCGCGACAGACCTCTCCTGCCGCCCGCTGCGCCCCTCAGCAGTGTATTTCTTCAGTCTGCCTGTTCTGTTCCCCACTCTGGCTCTGGTGAAATCTCTCACCCTCCCACACTTCTGACTGAACCCAGTGCTTGTATAAATAAATAAATAAATCTTTAAAAAAAAAAAAAAAAAAAAAGATATAGGCTGGGAATCAAATAAATATTTATGAGTTTTTATACACCGTGCCAATTTAAATGAGTTGAGGATAGTTGACCTGGCTCTCCTGCCAAATGAGAGACAATCTGAAATCATTCAATCTTCCCTGCTATACTTCCATACTCACTAAGAAATTCCTTACTGCTAATTTACCTTACTAGCTAAATTATTATTTTTTTCTATTTTTTTAAATTCACTAGTCAATTACATCAGTTAGAGCTTGCAATTAGTATTCCTGATATTAGACGTTGAAAATATACTATTTTTAAAAATGTAAATGTACATAGCTATTTGTCATGAGCTCTGCATATACCTTGGTGAGATGAATCTAGAGTCAACACTAAGACCTGAGACCAGTGCTTCCAAACAAATGTGATGTAAAAGTGTTACAGGTATGATGGACTACTGATCTCAGCCCATCAGGCTGGGAGGGGCGGGAGACTCTTTAATCTATCAACAGAGTTTCTTTGCCCTGTTTTTTTTTTTTTTAAAGATTTATTTTTTTTTATTTATGCATACAAGAACTGGGGTGTAGGCCAGAAGTGTGGAGGAAGGGTGAGAGGATTCACCAGAGACAGTGGGGAGCAGAACAGGCAGATCTACTGAAATATACTGCTGAGGGGAGCAGCCAGCGAGACAGGAGAGGTCTGCTGCGCCATGTGGGTCAGCTCCCTAGCTGGACCAAACTCCTGCTGCAGTGGCTGCAGATAGCTTCAGAGTGCTGAGATATAACCCCTTGTGCCACCAGGGAGGCTCTAATGTAACTATTTTTATGTGCACACACATGTCAGTGGTACTAAATACAATGATACTGTTGTTCTACCATTATCACCATACATTCATAGAACTCTTTTCATCTTGCATAAGTGAAACTCTATACCCATTAAACAATAACTCCCCCATTCACCTAGTCCCTGACAAGTACTATTCCACTTGTCAGAATAGCAAAAGTAGATTATCCTATCTACTTTTATTTCTCTAATGGATAGAGAAATATCTAACATCACACATAAGAATACAGTAATAGTCTCTAGATATAGACGACACATATTAGGTATCAGTTTTTTTTTTTTTTTTTTTAGTTTTTTAATTTTATATATTAGGTATTGGTTTTTAAATAATGAAAAGGAACACAGTTGGGGAAGAATATGTGAATACTGTACTTTGTATGTCCTTGGATTTTCTCTCTAACAGTCATCTTTACCTGTGAAAACTCTAGACATTCTCCAAGATTAATCTCAAGGCTCACTTGTAAGGCCAGTCACTCAGTAGCCAAGGTAATAACCTTACACACAAAGAGGTATAACCTAATTAGGATGAGCTGCACCAATTAGATTTTTATGCCTGGAAAATACAGGGAGAACCTACTAGGTTATAAGAGAGTAGATGCAGAAAGGGTGCACAGAAATATGTCTCAAGACAAGGGAATGTGAGTAAATTAATGAGGAAGTGGAAACTATGAGCCAAGCAGAAACACAGAGGGCAAAGAAGGGAAGGTGATGTATCTATCAGTAAGGGAGAAGATTCATGAACTCAGCTGCCTTTTATACAGGCTGGTCAATCTAGGCTTCCTGTGTTCTCCACTACTGTCACATGGATTCTGGCAATAATTATCCCACTTCTTCTAGGTTGTATGTAACTCTGTCATTTTTTAAAAAAAGGTTGAAACTATGTAATAATCAAGCAATCTCTTGCATCTCATTGATCTTGAATAGCATTATATGAATTTTTGCTAGCATTTTAGTTAGAATTGCTTTGTTAGAGTTTTAGTTAGCATTTTATTAATGGTTGGTTTTATTCTTTATGAGAAACTGTTAGAGCAAAATATTAATATACCATTTACAAACAAGAGGAGCAAATGATGTTTTGCTTCCCTTTCATTCTCATGTAGGTTAAAAAATTACACAAAATGTCTTTCTGATTCCTTTATAGTTAGTCTCTGAAGACTGGAGGAGTTAAGCATTAGATTAGGGTTAATTTTTAAGCAAGTTTAATATGTTAACTAGAAATGTAAAACCCAAGTATCAGCTGTAAGATAGATTATATATACATTAAGAAAAGTGGTTCATACAGATTTTTACTGCCCTTATAAAGCTGTTAAAATTGATTTAAAATGAACATGAAAGAAATGAAAATAAAATTATTAGTGAAAATCAGAGATCAAAATTCTAAGTTTTTAAAAAATTGTACTTACAAAGAGTGTTGGTTTGGGTATAAATATATTTTCTTCATGTTCCTTGGGCACATTCAAAGACTTTGATTTCTGATTTTCTGTCACATTTGTTGATTCCGTTTTAGTAAGAAGTAAGTTGTTCTCAGAACGCTTACTACGCATATTAGCGAGAATCTGTTTCATTGCTGCCAATTCCTGTTGATATGTGAAAATGGAAGAAAATGTCAAGTATGATCATTGCAAGAAGACTTGTGATTGATGTTACATTTATTTTTATTTTAGAAGTAGAAGAATCATTGGAAGTAATTATACTATATAAATGAGTAAAGCTGTGGCAAAATATTAATGTAAAATAATGAGGTATGTGAATCTCAAACAATACTTGTAGTATGATAAATAATATATTACATATCCATAGTCTAGTGAATCCCAAATTTTTCTGTATAGTGGAAAGACCTATGGAGCTTCAAAACAGACTAATGCCTATGTCCCAACCCCAGAGATTATGAGAGAATTAGGCTGCAGCATCACCTTGGCTTTGAAATTTTTGAAGATCCCCATGTGATTATAACAGACCTTCAAATTTGAGAATTGCTGACACCACTTTCCACTGTAGTTTTTTTATATGTTTGTTGAGTAGGTTATTTAAACACCTAATTTTATCTCTTATGCCTCTTAAATATTCCCATTTTCTTTTGAAATCTTACATAAGGCTTTAGGGGGAAAACTGAAAAATTCTTTTTCTTGCCTGAATAATCAATTCACATAGTAAGTTTAATATAGCGTCAACATCTTTAGCCATATTATTCCCTAGTCTTACCTTTAGTTCCTTTTCTTTCACAGATGAAAACTAAAGTTGGCTTTATTAGTATCAGTTGTCTTTGAGCTAAGAATTATGCTAAATTTCTTGAAGAACTTAGATCAAAAATTTCACTCATTGCCTCTTGAAACCTGTTTTGTCTTTAATTTTCCCCTGTAGTCAAACCTTTTCCCCATAGTCAAATCCCCTTAGTGGATATTTATCATTAGTCACCAGACTCAATCAAACACAAATATATGGAGAGACAAATGAAACTATCCTTTAGCTTATTACCTGTAGAACAGTGCTAGGCTGTGTTGTAGGTAATTTTTTCCTATTATTTTATTTCATCTTCATGCCAAGATACAAAAGTTATGTTGATAGAAAGATGTTCTCCCTTCTACTAATCTGTTTATAGACATCAGCTCCATGTCAGAGCAAGTTCCTACAGGCCTTTTTTTTTGGCTGTCATTAGTTCTATTTAGAATCATCTAGCTTGAGTGGGTATTTTAAAACAGAGCTGTTGAGGTTAAGCCCTGAGCCTTAATAAATCTTCGGGCCAAGTGAGGAGCTAGAAGAAATGGTGCCAGAATCTGTTTTCTCCTTTTGGGGTTGGCTTGGCCTATGCTCTTTAGAATGTGTACACTTTCAGACACTGTTAATGTGATACACTATTATTTGAATCTTTTGAGGACTCGCTCTGCTTTCTAATTGTTATTTCATTTATATGCTCCCCTGTGGTGAAGTATATAACTACTGATTTAATGTTAAATATGTCTGGCGTTATAGTCGATTTCAGTTCCTGTTCTATTTACCAAGATAAGTAAAAGGGAAAGTGGAGATGATAGTCTCCTGCCTATCAAACAACAACTTTCTATTTAAAAGCACCTCCTTACACTAGTCATAACTTTTGTTTCTTGGCATGAAGATAAAATAATAGCAAAAAATTACCTCCAACACAAGTTGTTATTATTCTATAGATAAATAAGATAAAGCAGAGTTTAGCCTATGGCACTTGCTGGGGGGAGGGGGAAGCAGACAGTGAGGATGAGGAAGGAGTTGAGGGTGCACTACCCAGAGGTCTTTTGGTCCCTAAGTGCTCTAGAGAAGACCATAATTTAGTTTCACTTTGGATTCCCTCTGCTGCTGATAGAGGTGAAATTACAGGAACAGGTTATCCCTGATGCTGGTCAGATAACATAAGAGAATTGCACATGTCTTCTGGCTTATCTAGACCAGGATCACCCCAACTTGGGGTGTTGTCATAGTAGAGTTTTGTTTATCTGATAGTATTAAAGAATATTAGCAGGGTTTCTGAAACCCTGGTAAACAACTTTAAAAGCAATTACTTTAAAAAAATACTTAAAGCAATAAAATTCTGCAAAATTCCTATTATGACAATATAGCTATAGCGGATGTTAAAATAACTTGAAGAACAAATTTTGTTCTTTTTATATCAATGGTAAATTTCAACAAATTTCCACTTTAACATCAAATAGTATCCATGCTACCATCATATGCTGAGCACACAGAAAGCCAAGCACGGGAACTGGAAATACTGTAGTATTATGTTAGAAGTCAAAGACACCTATTCCTGACTCTCACTATCCATTGTGTACACATTAACAATCTTCTCTGGTTCAATGAACTTCAGTTTCCTAATTGATAAACTGTATGCCTATGTTACCTTTTTGGATTTTTTCCAGTCTTGATAAGTGGGTACATTTATTTTTCATTTCTCCTATTTGTAAGGTTGAACAACTTTTTGTGTATTTAGAGGTATTTCCTTTTCTGTTGATATTCTTGGCTCATTTTTCTATTGGGTGATTCGTCACTTTCTTACTCATTTCACGGAACTTCTACATGTTAGAGATATTAGCCTTTTGTAAGATGAGTGACAGTCCCACATTTCCAATCCCCCCACCGCCCCGATTTATCTTTGATCTGACTTTTTTTATGCTTTTTGCTCTGTGTTTTTTGCTATGCAGAACTTTCTGATTCTGATGTGGCTGAATATGTCAATCTTTGATTTTATACCTTCCCATGTTTTCTTCCATTTTCCTCAACTTACTTTTTTGCTTTTCTTCTCTTTCCCTTTTTTTTTTTTTTAAAAAAAAGATTCATTTATTTATGAATACAACAACAGGGGTGTAAGCCAGAGGTGCAGGGGTGTGTGTGTCTGAGAGGATTCACCAGAGATAGTGGGGAGCAGAACAGGCAGATGTACTGAAATATACTGCTGAGGGGAGCAGTGGGCTAGACAGGAGAGGTCTGCCATGTGGGTCAGTTCCCTGGCTGTCCAGCTGGGATTGAACTTGTTCTACAGCGGCTGGTGATAGCTTGACAGCGCTGTCTTCAACCCCTGCGCCATCAGGGAAGCTCCTATTTTTCTTTCCTTTTTAAAACAGATATTTGGTCTGTTTGAAGTTTATCCTGCTTTATGGTGAAAGGTATGGATTCAACATCTGTGTGCTATAATAACACCATTATGTATGGAAAGGGACATTTCTCATGGTTGTATGGTATAGCACATACGTAATACATAACAGTATATATTATAATTATGTTATGTCATATATGATACAGCATATGTTAATCTATATAGTATACATGTTATAAATGATAGTATATATGAAATACATAGGGAAATTATAGTAACTTCACGAATGAATCAATCAGCCATTAAAAGTATTAAGTGTAGGGCCTCCCTGGTGGCGCGCGGGGTTAAGATGCAACTTATGAAGCTATCCGCAGCCACTGTAGCATAAGTTCGATCCCCAGACAGGGAGCCACCCACATGGCGCAGCAGACCTCTCCTGTCTCGCCTGCTGCTCCCCTCAGCAGTGTATTTTGGTCAGTCTGCCTGTTCTGTTTCCCACTCTGTTTCTGGTGAATCCTCTCACCCCCACACCTCTGGCCTGTACTCCAGTTCTTGTATGCATAAATAAATAAAATCTTTAAAAAAAAGTATTAAGTGTAGAACTGCATCAGATTATACAAAGCAATGAAACAAAGCAATAAAAACTACATTGCTGTATAATAATTACTCTTTAAAATGGAAGAGTTAAGGGCAAGGACATTCTAATGAAAATTCCAGATGATGATGATGATGATAATGATGATGTTTATTGTACAAACAATCTCCATGAAAGAGATAAATTGCTCTCTTGAATCCAAAAGCACATACTTAATATAAACAATTTGCATATAGTGGTGACACATTAAAACAGCTCAACTGTGAAGCAGCTGCTTAACATTATTGCATAGTTGATGCCAATAAATTGCAGAAAGTTGTAAACTCTGCAAAGATGTTGGCAAGGAGACACATAGATGGCATTTCTTGATGAAAATAACTCTGACTAGTATAATGCAAACTATGTTCTATGGGAGGTTGAACGTAAGTGTTTCTATGTAGGGATAACATAGTATCATGACTAATAAGCCAGATGATTTTGTGCATCATTTCTAGTTGTGGTTACACAAGGTAAAAACCAGTTTTGTTTGAAGCCATACACACATATTTTGGATATTTTAAACTTCACTGAAGAAAGCATTTAAAGGGACCAGGAAAAAGACTAATTATAATAAAGTAAAAATCAAAATCAACGAGCGACTATAAACCAGAGACACACTATGGGGGGAGGGCTGAGGAGGAGAGAGTAGGATAAAAAAAAGGTGGGTGGGAATTGTATGGGGACTATAACCAAGATGAAAATGCATACATAGTGCAAAAATGAAAAATGATGTAAAAAATATATAAAATAAAAATGTTCACCAACCCCCCCCCCAAAAAAAACCCAGTTTATTATGGAAAATTTCAAAAATAAAAAGAGAATAAACACAGCATACTGAGCTTTCATTTCTCTTGCCCAACTTTAGTAATTATCACATTTTGCCAATATTGTTTTATTGAGATACAATTCACATACCAGGCAGCCATTCATTTGAAGAGTATAATTCAATGGCTTTTGGTATATTCAAAGATACATGCACAACCTTTACTATAATTAATTTTAAAACCTTTCCAGCACCTCAAAAGAAACCCTGATTCCTTTAGAAATCACTCTGATATCCCACCTTACTCCCAACTTCCAAGTCCAAAGCATTTCCTGCCTCCTTTTTGCCTGTGTAGATATTCCATTCTCATGAATGGAATCATAATATGTCATCTTTTGTGGCTGACTTCTTTTAGCATAATTGTTAAGATTCATCTGTGTTAAAACACACATTAGGACTTCACTGCTTTTTACAGCCAAATAATATTCCTCTGTATGGCGATACCACATTTTGTTTGTCCATTCATCAACTAATGGACATTTGGGTTGTTTTCACTACTTTGCTAATGTGAATAATGCAGTTGTGAACACTCATGCACATATTTTTATGTGGATATATT